CTCCCTCTCCTGACACAGGAAGCACCCACAGGGGTGGCCTGGCATGCTCAGCACCCCGAATCCTGGTTTTGCCACCTCTGGGATGTTTTGCTGTGTGGCCTCATGCTTCAGGTGTAAAGCTAAAATTCCCCCAGGGGTTTTGTGTCAGCAAGGACTGGCTGAGGGGGAAAGGGAGGGAATAGGGGGTCAGGGAATGGGATGGGGGAGCAGTGGTCAGGGATGTCCAACCCCAGACTTACCCCTGCGCTTGCACCCCAAAGCCAGCTCCATGTACGGGGTGGGGGGTGAAGGGAATAACTGGAGACACCTTGTTTTGCCTGGAAAGATGACATTTTGACACCAGTACAGGCAGAGATCAGCCAGAGCCTCAGGCTCCTTCCCCCGCTGTGCTGAATGCAGAATGAGCCCGGCATAGGGGGGCAGCTTGTTTGCATTCCCAGCTTACCCTGGGGCACCCCCATGTCTTTGGGGTGGCAATCCCACGGAGACTGACTGTAGACACACTAAAAAGAAAGGTAGTCAGGAGCCAGCAGCTTCCTGAGGGGAGAATCATAGCGAAGAGAAGTCCAAGCAGTGCACATTTCAAGGTGAGTTGTTCCAAAAATCTCTATGCAGGTATCAAAATATAAAATAAACCCACATGAAATATAAATATGTACAATAGTAATGTAAACGTTTTTAATATCTACTACATACAAACAATAAAATATTAATGTACTGTGACATTAATATATTAAAATGTTAGAGTATTAAAATGCTGGAATACTGAAATGCTGCATGTCATAGCAGTTATGTTACGTGCCAACATACAAGTAAAGGCCGAAATTGCCATCTCCCCGCCAAGATTCAGATTGTGAAGCATTGTCCTCACGGATGGAGCAGCTGGGAAGGTGGCATCCCCATCCCTGCCACAGCCCTGAACCAGGAGCCACATGTTGCACAAGCCTGGGCTCTCTCCTCCAAGGGCTCAGCATCCCAGGGCTTTGTCCCCGGTGATGAGGAAGGAGATGGGGAAGGGAAGTGCTGGCGAGGAACCCTCACAGGTCTCCTGCTCCTGGCATCGAGCAACACTGAGATCCAGAGGCAGGATCCTGTCCCATCTTTCTCAGGGAGCTGCATCCTCCATTTCCAGCCGTACAAATTAATATAGGCAGTATTAGTTTGTTTTATCTATTTTCAGTGCACATATGTCTAGAATCTATTGAGTATACTTCTGTGGGTTTTTTTTAATTTACCATGATGCTAAATGAGCAATTTGCCCCCCTCTCTCTCTCTTTTCTCTCTCTGATACTTAAATTTTACATTACTGGTTTGCAGATGCCGTATTATACTGGAGGAGCTTGAAGTAAAAAGATTGAAAAAAGTAGAAGGGGTTTTTGAGTAGGACAGTGCCTGGACGAGCTTTGGATCACCCAGGGAGCCACACTGCAGGTGGTTTACAATATTGCTGTGATCCCCAGCTTGTATTTGGGTTTTTTTCATCCAAAAAGGGGACGAAGCTTAGCTCCCCCTGCCCCCTCTTTTTTCCTGTTGCAGATTCAAGTGACTAGATCTGTTGTCAGAATGTGGGGAGAAGCAATCTGACACCCGAATAGCATCTCCCAGCATAATTTTTTTTTTTTTTTTTTTTTAAGAAATCGTGCTTTCCCTGGCAAGAAAGTAATGAACGAGTTTTAAGCGTGTCCATAAATGCGATGTTTCGAGACGTCATTTGCAGAATACATTTATTTTAGGTGCCCTCCACCCTTTCCACCATCTCCCTCCAGTTTATTTTAACAATGCTGTAATTTTCTGTTATAAAATGGGATTTTTCTCTTTAACTCCACGTCGCCTGCTCGGCTTTTGCATATGTGTGTGTGTGTGTGTGTGTGCATGCATTGGTGACATTTGTCACCATCAGATGCTATTTTTATGCCTGTTATTATTGAGGACCCCACCCTTGGCTTGGGGAGGGGAAGGGGGGAGTGCAGGAGGAGGGAGAGGAGGGAGGGGGAGGAAGGAAAACGTCAGCCTCAGCACACTTCCAGCCTCTGGCCATCAACCTCCCCGGGGGCATGGGAACCATAAGGTCATTTCTCAAGCTCAGTGAGCTCCAGAGCTGTCAAACCACCCTTCGAGTTTAAAAAATGCAAATCTATGCAAATGAGCGGGCTGCTTCTCTCCCTCTACCCCCCCCCCCCCATTCAAATGACATGAATCACCTTCAATTTTGCCAGCATCCTGTAAAGTTATCGGCTTGTCTAAGCACTGTGGTTAACAGAACCACTTCTCAAGATGGACAGGAAGGGAAAAGAAAGTAAAACCAGTCAATATCCATCAAAAGCAACATCATTTTTTATATATTTTGTATATATAAAATGTATATAAATATATATATAATGACATAACCCCCCCCCCCGATTTCCCAATTCGATTTTTTTTTTGTTGTGTACTGAATAATTCACTAATTAGGCATAATGAAGTATAGTGGCCTGAAAAAGACCCTCTATAAAAACATTTATCAAGGTAGTCTAATATTCTGATTTTCTGATCTTTGGCACTTGGGGTGAACTGGCAGTAAAAGGCCAAAATAAGCTTGTAGGAAGACACGTTCCTTCATGCAAGGAGCTCCTTTAACACTAATGCTCCTTCCAAACAAAAATAAATGAGCAGAAGATGAAAACAGCAATAGGAATTTAATTGCTCATGCTTATTATTCGGGATACAAAGCCCTGAAAAAGGAAGTTGTCTTTTCCTCCCCGGCTCAGGGGTTATTTATTATCTTACACTCCACTCGGAGAGCACATTGGATTTGCTGTCGTTTATCGTAGATTTTCAAGGGGGATTTGATGCGGGGCTGGTGGGGCTCGTGGACGAGTGTAGCTGGTTAACGTGGTTAAGCACAGCACACTGTAATGAATCAATTTGTTTCGGACAACAGACATAATTAGCGTGGAGGCAACGGGCACACCGCGGGACGCGGGGCTGGAGCATCCTCCTTCCGCCGAAAGTGCCGGTGGCTGGGGCTGAGGGGGCTCTCAGAGCGGTGATTCCCGGCTCCTCTGGGCATGGGCAGGTGGCTGCAGAGGGCTTCCCGTGGTGCCAGCCCCCTGGGAGGCCTCACTGGCCAGGCACAGCTCCTGGTGTGGCTCCCACCAGGCCTGCGGTCCGTCACCTGTCCCCAGGTGTGCTCCGTCGGGGTTGCACCACCCTTCCTTTGCCTGCCAGCTCCCACATGTGAGTTCTTGGCAGTGCTGGTTAGGTATGGGGGGGATATCTGCGAGTTCTCAGCTGGAGAATGGCCCTGCAGAGGGAGGAGAAAGCACTCCTTTTCCCATGGGAATGTTCACTGCATAGTCTGATCCCCTCTAGGGGCCCCCCAGGCTTTGCGAAGGGTCGCTGGCATCCTGGACAAGGTGAAGCATGGATTTTTGTGGGCAACCTCCATCAGGCCAGGCTCTTTCCACCACTAAGGGCCTGAGGCAGGTGGGAGGGCGGGAGCCAGCCCCTCACCATGAGGCAAACCGGGTCCCCACAGCTGGTGGGAAGGGGGTTTGGAGTGAGTGCAGCCAGACCCTGAGCAGGGAGGGACACCCAGGACACAGCAATGGGTTCTGGGAGAGATGTGGAGGTGTTGTGGGGTGGAATTGGGAACCTGACAGAGGTGTGGAGGGTGGGATTGGGAACCTGGTGGTCTCGGACTTGTGAAAGGGTGGGGAGAGGGGGGCTGCAGTTTCACTTCCAGGTACCCTGAGTTCTCTCGGGGATGAACTGCTCGGCTCTGAACCAGGTGTCTACCTGCAGCAGGGCCACGAGCTGGGGCTGGTAGAGGTGACACTGCATGAACACATGCTCTGTGTCCTGGGGGTTTCCAAAGGGTTAGTGTATTCAAAGTTATTCTGTCTGTTTGATGTATTCTGTGTGTGAGGGGATTAATGTATTCGTCGCCTGCTGGAGGAAATCACTCTCCTTTCCTGGGATTTCTCATGTGCAAGGGCTGCCGGAGCCATGTGAAAGAGGAAACATCTTACAGATTAAAAAATGGCAAAAAGAAATCAGGTTTTCCTCTTGGGTGTGGGCTTTTTGCTTCCGAGTTTTCCTTTGAAGCTAAAGCTGCTCTGGGAGGGGAAGATGTCTGCCAGATGCACAGGGCATTTGATACCATGCTGACAAGTCCAAGCAGGACTGGGAATGAAGCAAGCTCAGCTCATGGGAGAAGATGGCAGACAGTTATCTGTGTCTGGCCTGGTCCTTGCCCCCTCTTTTTCCTCCTCTGAGCGTTTAGGTACACCGTGACACAAATCCTTGCTTGCCTCCCCATTCCCAGATCCCACAGCAAGACACCCCTTCGCGGGTTGTCCACATGCCGAGGTGAAGTGGGATAAATTCCAGGCATGGAGTAGCAGAATTGGATTCCTGCTGGTCCATAAGGATCACTCTCCTGCTGCAGCAAGCAGCCATGATCCTCCTATTTGGGACATCCAGTTGGACCAGTCCCAAGAACAATGGTGTGGATGGGATGGGCACTCCCTGGCTCGCCTTGTTTAAGCTGTGTAGGTGCTGGGACTTGGCAGTGTGAAGCAATGCAGCATCACACTTTCCCCACGTAGCTCCTGGCAGGGCAAATCCAGCATGTGCCTGGAACAGCGTTGTCTCTGGGAGGACGTAGAAGAAACCTGACGGGAGGGAGTCGTTGCACAAGGCTGGTGGGGGAGGGATGTGAAGGAGAAGAGGGAGCTTGTGGTGGTTGTGAAAAGGTGAACAGGGTGGGAGTCGAGTAGAGGAGGATGGAGACAAAGAAGGAGCTGAAAAGATGTGGAGGGAAGCAGAGGTTAGATCAAAGAGGACCTGGAAGGAGTTGAAGGTGGCATGGAGATGCAGTGGGGCAGTGAAAGTGGGAGGTGATTACAGGGGTCCAGGTGAGGTGGGGGAGAGAAGGACACCGAGAGAAGGCAGCATCATTTTGGCATCACTGATTGGGAAACGCCTGCTAACGCTCCGCTGCCTGTGCTTTGTCCTAGGGCACTAAATGAGAATATGGCCAATGGCATTGAAGATCTTATCGGGATCCCATTCCCGAACCACAGCAGCGAGGTGTTGTGCGGCCTGAACGAGCAGCGGCACGACGGGCTCCTCTGCGATGTCATCCTCATCGTGCAGGACCAGGAGTACCGCACCCACCGCTCCGTCCTGGCTGCCTGCAGCAAGTACTTCAAAAAACTCTTCACTACCGGCACTTTAACCGACCAGCCCTATGTTTACGAGATTGACTTTGTCAAGCCTGAAGCACTTTCTGCCATCCTCGAGTTCGCCTACACCTCAACCCTCACCATCACCACCTCGAACGTCAAGCACATCCTCAGCGCTGCCAAGATGCTGGAGATCCAGAGCATTATCAACGTATGCCTTGAAATCATGGAGCCCGACAGGGAGGCCGAAGAGGAAGACGACAAAGAGGACGAAGACGACGACGAAGATGAAGACGAAGATGAGGAGGAAGAGGAGGAGGAGGAGGAAGTGGAAGATTTCGTCAATCAGGAGAACCTAACCGATGTACAAGAAGTAAGCTGCCACCAAAGCCCTTCCGAGTCTGATCTTACCGAAGAAGCATATCCAGAAGCACCTAAAGATTTTCCAAATCACTTCCCAGCCAGTAACTCCTCTGGACACCTGGGCATGATACGAGACTTCTCCATCGAGTCCCTGTTAAGTGAAAACTTGTACCCTAAGGCAAACATCCCGGAAAGAAGGCCAACTCTCTCTCCCTTCACCCCCAGCTTCTTCCCCCATCTGTGGAACGGAGACTTTAGCTCCTTCTCCCAGCTCGAGGAACCACAAGTAGACAACGGCCCCTTGGATCTGGTGATCAAAAAGAGGAAGATCAAGGAAGAGGAGGAGAAGGAAGACCTGCCTCCACCTCCTTTCCCTAATGACTTCTTCAAGGACATGTTTGCCAACACCCCAGCAGCTCCCCTAGGGCATATTAAGGCAGAGACTGACTATGGAGCTTATCTGAATTTCTTAAGCGCTACCCAGTTCGGAGGAGTTTTTCCTCCATGGCCCCTGGAGGAAGAGAGGAAAATAAAGCCCAAGGCGTCCCAGCAATGCCCCATCTGCAACAAAGTCATCATGGGAGCAGGCAAGCTGCCCAGGCACATGAGAACCCACACTGGGGAGAAGCCCTATATGTGCAATATCTGTGAAGTCCGCTTTACCAGGTGTGCATTGGGTACCTCTGCCACGTGTGGGGAGCGGGGTGGTGGTGGTTGGAGGGGCCATGTCATGACCCACGGCTGGTTCCTGAGCTGCACTTTCTCCCCTCCCCACTCCGTCCCATAAAAAAAGTAGGAAAGAAAGCAGGGCATGATCTCTATCCCTTCAGGAAAAAAAAAAAAAAGAAAAAAAAAAAAAAAGAGGAATAAGGGAGGAGGGTGGAGAGAGAAAATGAACCTACTGATTTTTGTGGGTTGTGGATGACATCCACAACTCACTGGATCCATCCCCTCACTGGACAAAAGCTTAAATAAGTAACGGGATATTTTCAACCCCACAATAGTTCACCACAGTGGGACCAGAGTGAGCTGGAAAACAGATGGTCAAACAGCCAAGGAGGCTTCATCTCTGGTGTGCTGGGAGATGCATTGAGCTGGGAGGGCCATTTAGCCACAGGATGTAATTAGTTTGGGTTTGCACATTTTGGCACCAGTGTAGACCACAGCCAAGTTGCACATGTTTGGACATGACAGTATCTGGGTTTTCTGAGGCTGGAGCAGTCCTAATTCTTATATGTTATAGTGCAGTGGGGGTCAGTCTCTTCTCCAAATAACAGGCAACAGGACAAGGGGAAATGGCCTCAGGTTGCACCAGGGGAGGTTTAGATTGGACATTGGGAAAAATTTCATCACAGAAGGGGTTGTCCATCCCTGGGACAGGCTGCCCAGGGCAGTGGTGGAGTCTCCATCCCTGAGGGGATTTAAAAAATATGTTGTTGTGGCACCCGGGGACATGGTTTGGTGGATTTGGGGGAACAGTTGGACACATAGAATCCCAGAATGGTTTGAATAGGAAGGCACCTTAAAGACCATCTTGTTTCAACCCCCCGTGCCATGGACAGGGACACCTTCCACTAGACCAGGTTTCTCAGAGTCCCATCCAGCCTGGCCTTGGACACTTCCAGGGATGGGGCAGCCACAACTTCTCTGGTCAGCAACTGGAGTAGGCTATGCAAATCCAATGCTCCAGCTTGAAACCCTCCCCTGCAAAGCTGGGCAAATTTAATCGGCGAGCAGAGACAAATAGATTCCTGGACCTGCTCTTGCTGAGTATAATTAATATCTAATGAGGACAATCTTTACCATAATAATAAAGCTTTCTGACAAGAGCATGGTATTTCAGCTCCTGGCTGCGTGTAAGAGAGAGAGCCCTATTAAGCTGGGGCGGGAAAACCAGAGGAAAATAATCTGCACAGTAGGCAGAGGCGAGCTCCTGACAATGGCCAGACACCTGGGGTGCTCCTGCATTCAGCCTGCCTTTTCTTCTCCTGTCCTATGATAATATTCGAATGGAAGATATGCAGATGATGAGGATTTGACCTGAAAATAAATTTCCATGCTCCCCCTCCATTAACGCAGCAGACACCGCATTATAATGCGGGGAGCATCCTGCCTCGGGCAGGCACATGCGACGGGAGCCTGCCTCACCCTGCTATTTGCAGGGGAAGGGCCACTGCACGGTGATCATTCCTGCCTGCAGGAATTTGGATCTGCCTCCTGCTGGTGCTGCATCCCCAGGTTGGCACTGCGTTGTTGCTTCCAGGCGGGCGGTTCACGCCGGTGGTTGTGGTGGCATCCCCCAGGCTGGGGGGACCACCTGGCCAGCCCCGTGCTGTGGTCCCTGTCACTCTCCTGCATGTGGTGCTGGTTGCTGATGAGGAAATAGCTTGGCTTGACCCATCACTGGCAGCTTCCCCTGTAAGGGGACCAATAGGGCCAAGCCCTCCCAGAGGGCTCCCGAAGTCCTTTGTGTGCCAGGGCAGCATCGTTGGGCTTAGTTTGGGGAAACCGAGGCACGGGGAAATGCTGGTACTGGCTACCTTTGAAGGTTAGTAGGAGGGTTCAGGTGAGAATTCAGGTATCCTGACCCCTAATCCAGGCAGCTTAAATCAGCATCACAGAGGTTTAAAAGCTCCATGCAGAGCTGGTCTAGCATGGCCTATTGCTAACACAGGGTGAAACCCAACAGCTTTGACATCCCCCATCTGCTCAACAGCTTCTAAATGCAGATCACAGGGGGAGTGAGACTTTAACCCAAGGAACAAGTGACAAAATTGGGGCTGACCCAGTGCTGCAGTCTCCCCTCATCCCTGATGAAAATGAAGTTGTTCTTGTGGGTCACCTGGCACCTAGCTGAGCGCAGGAGGGTTTTTTCATTCTCTAACACCCCGAGCAAAGTGGAAATCTCAAAACACTGGTTTGTTTTTAAATGCGTTTGGAAGGATTTTGAATAGCAAGCAGCTGTTTGGTTTTGTTTGAGGTGGGGTTTTTTAGCCATTTTCAGCATGGCTCTGATGTGAGAACTCTCCTTTAGGAAAAAGTATGTTTTTAAGCAAAGTGGAGTGATTGAGATGTAGGAAGAGATTTCTGTTGGGATTTCCTCAATGCTGCCACTTACATTAGTGTTTCGCTCTCAGGAGGGAATCTCACCCTTCCTGAAAGCATCAGACTTGTGCCCCACAGTGCCTTCACTGGGGAGATGCAAGCCTAGATGGTCCCTTTTGGGGTCCCCTGGGAATGAGGTGCAGGGAAGCAGAGGTTCCCAAATGGGATTTCAGAATGAATCAGTCCTTTGCGTTATTTCTGCCTGTAAGGAATGGTGTAGGAGCAAATCTACTGGGGAAAATAGGGAAAATATTTTTTTTTCTGGGTGGGAATTCCCCCAACCTCCCCATCAGATCACTTCCCCTTCACATCAGTAGGTTGTGAGGACCCCCCGTGCACCTGGATCTGCCACTCCCACTGCCCAGGGAGATCTGATCTCAGGAAGCAGGGCTTCATTTAATAGCTCATTAATTTTTTTCCTTAAACAAAGGCTGCCCAGCCTCTAGTCTGCCGTTTCACCCTGCTAGAACGCTGGAGAAAACTGCAAATATTTCAGCTTTTCCACCAAGGCAGCCCCAGAGTGCTCAAGGAGAAACTGTTCCAGCCGGAAAGGTTAACATTATTTGTTCCTATTATTTGTGTTGTGACAGCTCGCAGAGCCCTAATCGCTCTCCTAATGCAATTGGATTAAGGTTATTCACACACACGGAGTGTGGATCTCCGCTGGAGAGCCTGTGAGCCCAGCTCACAGCTCACAAAGCCTGTATCCCCCCCACGCCACATCCTTCCTCCCCGGGGCTGCTCCGCCGCACCCGGAGCATCCCACCCCGCCCCCAGCCCCTGAACTGCTCCAGGTAGAGCCATAAACCTTCTCTTCCATCCCCCTGGGGCGGGGTGGTGGTGGGGAGGATCGAGTTTCTCTCCCCGTCTGCCGCCGGAGATGGGTAACAGCCTGAGAAGAGCTCTGCCTGTGTTTACATTATGCAGTCCTGGCACGCGGCGTGTTTACGAGGAAAAGCGATCCCGCTAGGTTAAACATTACATATAGAGGTTTAAATTAAATCATAGGTGGGGCTGGTGGCTCTGCTTTTTATTGACGTTTCCCCCCCACCTCGCAGTACGAGCCCCCTGCGCTCGTCCCGGTGTGTGTGTGATCTCGCCACGTTTTTATCCGCTCGGGGTGAGATTTTCCGTGCTGCTTTGTCTTCTGCTCAGCACCCGTTTCAGCCCTTTCCAGGTGTGGGGTGGGGAAAATGCACCCTTGGGAAAAAATCTTGGGGGAACAGCAGCTTTAAAAATGTCAGAGTAGGAAGTTGGGATCTGGCCCTGGGCGTGATGCAGGGACCGGGAGGCGCTTTTTTTTTTTCCTTCTTTTCTTTCTGTCTCCCTAAAAATCTGTAGGTGCAGGACACAGGCTGGGACCAGTTTCCCAAAGGCAGTAGAGCAGCATCTGGTGAAGAAGTGACTCTCCTGCTAGGGATGCTTCTCTGCATCCTTGCTCCTGAGGGATTTGGTGTACAGGGGTACCAGGCCAGGGCTGCACTCCTGATGGACTGGCTGACACCAATGTTCTGCCAGGCACGTCACCAAAAACCACTTCAGGGTGCACACAGGCAGGGTGGCAAAAATTAGTGCAAAGGTAGCACCTTGCAAGTTCTGAGGGCTTGACCTGCCAGATAATAAATAGATTTTTTGGGGGGTGGGTGGGTGGTGGTTTTTACATTACATAAATCAAAATATCTCATAACTTATGTACTTATGTATTATATAATTTATAATGCCATTGTATTTTTGAACCATAATAAATAGTATTATATACTGTTTAATATTCACCTAAAATATATAATACAGTTTTCCATAAGATATCTATAATGTATAGGTTTTATGTATAATAATGACATGACTCCATGCATTCTACATAAAGCCCCAGTATCAGCACTTCGGAGGGTTCACACCAAAGAGCATTTTGGGAAAACAATATGAATTTTCACACTTTGCTCTTTACTTGAACTCCACTGGTGCAACCCAGCTGAGCAGTGCTCAGCTCAGTTCAGCTATAGGCAGATTTACGTTTTATAATCATATGCTTTAGCTGTGATTTTTTTTTTCTTTTTGACTGCAGAGGGAAATATTTGGGTGAGGGGGAATTACGATTGGACTGCCAGCATGGAAAATACTCTTGCTTCTGGATATTTGCCTTAAAAAAAAAAAAAATTATTTATATTTGCAAAAAAAGTGTCGTTGGGATGGATATTATGCTGTTCCATGGCTGGATTTAAAAACCTTCTCCGTACTGTGAGTGAGGCTGGATGTGTGCTGGCCTTGGAGACCATGGCAGCGAAGGATTGAGTGCCTGGGAGCTGCACTTCTGCCAGCACCACCCTCTGTGATGCTCCTGCTCCAAATGAAAGCCTCCTGAGACACCGTGTGGTCAGTGCAAGGATAAGTGAAAGGAAAATCCAAGAGAGACTTAAATTAAGCAATATTTCCAACCCATAGTGCCAGGCTCTTGAATCCAAACCAATTTCTTTACTTTGCAAGCAGGAATAGAGCCATACTTAGTTAGCTATTCCCGTATTTAGGTATATAGAGATAGATATATCCCCATGTTTATGTACTCGCTCTCTCCAACTCCCTGACAGGAGGATGGAGCCAGGTGGGGGTCGGGCTCTGCTCCCAGGGAACAAGGGACAGGACCAGGGGAAACGGCCTCAGGTTGAATCAGGGGAGGTTTAGAGTGGATATTAGGGAAAATTTCTTCACTGAAAGGGTTGTCCATCCCTGGCACAGCTGCCTAGGGCAGTGGTGGGGTCCCCATCCCTGGAGGGATGTATAAGCCTTGCGGATGTGGCACCTGGGGACATGGGTTAGTGCTGGCCTTGGTAGTGCTTGGGGGAACAGTTGGACTAGATGATCTCAGGGGTCTTCTCCAACCTTAATGGTTCTGTGATTCCATGATTTTGGGGTTTATTCCAGAGGGTTTTTTCGTCCAATTTAAGCTGGTTTTGTTCTCTCTGGGATGGGCTGCAGACTCCTGACATGTGTGTGATGTTCAGCTGCCCAGGAAAGAGGTGGCAAATGCAAAGGTCACCCTGCAAGAGCATCCACACACTGGGGGAAGCCGCAGGACAACCTCCCTACCTTTCCTCTCCCGACCCAAAGAGCCACCCCCACCCCATCCCTTCCAACCCACACCGCCCTGACCAAGTGCCTTTCTCCCCCGCAGGCAGGACAAGCTCAAGATCCACATGCGCAAGCACACGGGGGAGCGGCCGTACCTGTGCATCCACTGCAACGCCAAGTTCGTGCACAACTACGACCTGAAGAACCACATGCGCATCCACACGGGCATCCGGCCCTACCAGTGCGAGTTCTGCTACAAGAGCTTCACCCGCTCCGACCACCTGCACCGCCACATCAAGCGGCAGAGCTGCCGCATCGCGCGGCCCCGGCGCGGCCGCAAGCCGGCGGCGTGGCGGGCGGCCGGCCTGCTCTTCGCGCCCGGCGGCCCGCCCGTGGAGAGCGGCTTCGTGATGCCGCCCGCCCTGGAGGAGATGAGCGGCCACCTCGGCGGCACGGCCATGTGCCTTCCCGGCCCCAGCCCCAAGCACTTCCTGAGCGGGGCCAAGGCCCCCTTCAGCCTGCAGGAGCTGGAGAGCCAGTTCGAGGAGACCCAGAGGAAGCTCTTCAGGCGGGCCCAGATGGACATGGAGAGGAACGCGGGGATCTTCGCCTTCGCCCTGGGCCACAATGAAAACCTCGCCGCCCAGCCCTTCTTCCCGCTCCCCGACCCTTGGAGCACGGGCTTCAGTGGCCTGGCGGGGCTGGGCCACGTGGCTCCCATCTCGGAGGCGAGCAACTAAACCCGCTCCCGGTCCCGCCATGCGCCCGCTCCCTTCCCAGCGAGGCAGCCAAGCGAGCTCGGAGCCCCCACCTGCCCTTTGGCATCACTGGGCTCCCAAGAAACTCTTTGTCCCCTTGCTGCCGTGGGGTTTTGGGGCACAGGGTGGTCCCTGGCGCGGGCAGGGGGGTGGGAGGTGCTGTGTCCCCTGGCCACTGGCACTTTAGACTCTGGATGCACTTGGCTTTGGGGCCATCAGGCACTTGCTGTCCCACCCAGCCACCCACCACTCATGGCTCCCTCTGGAGAGGCCAGGCCAGGACTGCTGCTCTCTTCAACGCTCCCAAAAATGTCACTTGCCTTAGTCCAGGGCACAACCATCAGCGTGAGATGGTTCTTCTGGGGGAATTACTCCCCATTTTCCACCCGCAGAGCCCACTGGACACCAACAAGCCGTCCAGACTTGGTTTTATTATGTTACATTCCTTGGCCCTTTTGGTCAAAAGAACTTCTCTCTTTTGGATTTTTTTTTTTTTTTTTTTTTTGGTGTGTGTGTGTTCTTTTTTTGTTGTGGGTTTTTTTTTTGTTTGTTTGTTTTGGTTGGTTGGTTTGGGGTTTTTTTGTTTTTTAATTAACTCCCATGTCTGGCAACAATATTTATCCTACAAAGGATAAAGGGGAGGGTCAAGTCAAGAAGCCATGTTGGGAGAGGGATGATCCTGGCCTTTGCCTTTCTCAGCAGTGTATCAGATTTACAGGGCTGGTGAAAGCCCTGATCTGCAGCATGAGTTGGGACCCTAAAAACATTAAAAGTTTAAAAAAAAAAAAAAAAAAAAAAAAGGAGATAAAAAATCACCCAGCTTTGCAGCTGGGTGTAAAAGGGGGATTTACTTATTTTGGTTCTTTAGCTATTTCAAAATTTCAAAAGGAGAACCAAAGCCTATTTTGAGTATTTTAACTTCAGTTGCTTGAAAAGGTGAAGGAAAAGTTTTGGAAGAATCAGAAATGTTTCAATATTGAGCTTTCACTAAACCCTTGCTTTGCGAAAATGAACCACGTGGGAATTTCGAAATGAAAAAGTTGTTTCAAACCAAAGAGTCAGAATTCGCCACCACTGACCATTCTGAAAAGTCTGGGGTTCTGTCCTTAGTTTCCTCGAATTCCTATATATATATATTTTGATGAGAAAAATTTGCTAAACGCTCATGTGTCCCCGAACGTGCAACGTTGATGGAAAAAAAATGAGTTTGGCAATATCCCTGCTGCTTGTCTCAAGGGATCTTTGTGGAAAAGGAGTTCACTAAAAGTGTCCTGGTGATTATACTGCCTACTTGCCAGCAAGCAGAAATGCTATTTCTTCACTCTTTGTTGGCTCAGAAGATAAGATGGTGACATATTTAGGGTGCTCCAAGTTGAAGGTGACCAACAGGTTTGGGTTGTGTCCCCAGCATCCCTGCAGACCCCATCTTGGCCACTCCATCTAAGGATTCTTTTGAGGCCAAAAGAGTGGCAGATTGGCTGGAATTGCCCTGCCAGCCTCCTTCAGCCCCAAAACCATGAGCTACTCCGATGGATAAAGGCTTTTGGTGACCATCTGCCTCCCATGGCTCCTCTTAGATGAGCCATGGGAGGGAGATGTGGTTGGACCCCAGTTGCAGGACTGACTGACATGTCTTGCAGTGAGTGTCCCAGGAGGCTGGTTTTACATGAAACCAGCACTTGAAAATGTAAATGGTACAAATTGGGGCTTTTTTATTTCTCTTTTTACCTTTTTACCTTTCAACGTCAGCAAAATCGAAGGGAATGAGAGGACCGCGGGTTCATGAATTTTTTGGTTTGTCCATCAGTGGAGTGGTGGCTGGATGAGAATCAACACATCAGAGCATGGAGGGGGTCACACGGGATCTGGGTTCTGCCCCCATGAGGATGAAGGACTTCTGCTCTGAGACCACCCGTGGCAGAATGATCCCAAAGAACTGCTCAACGCTCGCTTCCTCCTCCAGAAAAGAAACCCACAAAGACTCCACGTGCAACGAAAGTCAACGGAGAGAAAAAAAGAAGAAGAAGAAGAAAAATCTTCTTAAAACTGCAGCAAACTTTTTAATCCATATCAACTTCTTACAACAAGCGACATTTTGCAGATGACTGGTTCCTTCAGGTGTTTTTTTTTTTTTGTCTACGATTTGGAGTCATTGTAAAATATCCAAAGATGCTGAGTACTGTATAATCTGCAAGGACTTGAAGCAAGGTGTTTTTTCTGTCTCGGTTTGTTTGTTAGGTTGGTTGGGTTCTTTTTTTCTTTGTTTTTATTTTTTTTTCCTATTCGTCTAAGTGGGGATAAACCTTTGCAATTTTTCTATTTATAACTATTTTTATGTGATTGCTTTATGTACAAAACAATGGAAAAAAATCAAAAAAGTGGAGAGAAACATACACATACATACACACACACACACACACACACAAACACATTTGCCTTAGTTACTCACGGGACAATCACCCTTAACTTTGATCGATGCTAAAAAAAGTGGATGGGAAAAAAAAAAAAGAGAGACTAGATCCTTTCATGTATTTATTAATTTATATCAATTGATGCTTTTAAATTATTAGCAGGACTTGATCCTCTTGCCTGTGGCCGTGGTGGGAAGGCAAAGCTGCTCTGCGGTTGCTGACCCGCGTGGCCTCAGCTTTTCGGATGTTCGCCCGGCACGCAGATCTGCGCTTTCCAAAGGCACCTTTTGGAAGGCCTAAATAATCACTTCTGAAGGAAGCATCGAGCTGGTACGGGCTCCACCCCGAGGGGCCGTGGGCGTTGTGGTGCCGGTGATGATTGCGGAGTTAAGGTTGATTTTCCCGCGTTGGCGCTGGGTTGGGTAGGGTTGGAGGGACCTGAGTGCTGGCAGTGGTCGTGTTGTGGGTGGGGAGAGGGAGGTTGAGAGAAAACCCTATTTCTTCCCATTTTGATGTTGTGTGGTGAGTCCAGGCCACAGGTATCCATGTGGGAGCCCAGCTAAGAGTGGAGGTGCCTTCCCAGGGCTCTGCTCTCTGTTCACAGCCAGGATGGGTGTGATGAACAGCAGCCTTGGGATGGAGGGTCTCAGGGCTCTGTCCCAGCTCAGGGTGTGGTGGCTTCTTATTGATCTCACCAGGCTCCAAAGGCCTGGCTGCAGCAGGGACTGATGAGCACTGGGCTGATCCCACAGCGTGGGATCTCCCCAGGAGAGGGGGGGATTCTGCCCCTCTGTGCCCTCAGGTGAGACCCCCTTCCAGAGCTGCCTCCAGCCCTGGGAACAACAGCACAGGGACGTGGAGCTACTGGAGAGAGTCCAGAGGAGGCCCCAGAGATGCTCCAAGGGCTGGAGCCCCTCTGCTGTGGAGCCAGGCTGGGAGAGCTGGGGAGGTTCACCTGGAGAAGGGAGGGCTCCAGGGAGACCTGAGAGGCCCTTCCAGGGCCTAAAGGGGGTTTAGAAGAAAGATGGGGACAAACTTTTTTAACAGGGCCGTTGCAATAGAACAAGGGGAGGTGGTTTTAAACTGAAAGAGGGCAGATTCAGAGCAGGTAGAGATTTTTTACAGTGAGGGTGGCAGAACACTGGAACAAGTTTCCCAAATAGTTGGTGACTGCCCCATCGCTGGAAATACCAAGGGCAAGGTTGGATGGGTCTTGGAGCAACCAGGTTTAGTGGAAGGTGTACCTGCCCATGGAAGGGAATTGAGCTAGATGACCTTTAAAGGTCCCTTCCAACCCAAATCCTTTAATGATTCTATGATTCTGTGAGCACAGCTGACACAAACGTGAGCCCTGCAATTCATGTGGCCGCTCAGGAGTTGCAGAATTTCCTTGTTATTTTTTGAAGGAGGTGCAAAAGCCTGGGAAATAGGTGCCAGGTAGGAATGGTGGGACTAATCCCACGTCATTCACCCATTTGTAAGTGAAGTAACAAGTACCCTGTGCATATTGAGACACCTACATGTTGACACTTTAATTTTGGGTGTCCTAACCTGCAACGTGATCTCCAGCCTTCCTCTGGAGCTGTCCTGGCTCTGGAGGGAAGGTGATTCACCCCACCCACGCTGGACCTCCCAAGGGTGGGATGAATCACCTTTGACAGCACCTGTCTCTGCTACCTACCGGGGTGCTTTCCTTTCCCATAGCTCAGTGAGATAAGGGATGTTCCCATCACCACGGCACCCTCCTCTCTGCTCAGCTGTTGGGGCAGTCTCTGGAAAAACATTTCCCAAGAGGATGGGATGCTGGCACAGCCCAGGGACCCAGATCAGTCAGCTTGATTTCTCCCCAGTCCGTTTTAACTGGGAATGCAGTGATAATTCGGGGTCCAGGCCCATCCTCCCAAGCCTGGGGACCAGGAATTCAGTCCCGTGAGTTGTACAACCTGCTGCAATCCCAGTGAAACATCCCAAGTTCTTACAGCCACAGGTTATTTTCTTTCCTTCACGCTCCTGAGAAGGACCCCACAGCATCAGATGCTCATGCAGGGGTCCAGATCTGCAGGCAGAATCCAAAAATGTGCCTTGAGAAGATGGAAATACCAATCCCCCTCCCGGGGCAGGCGGTTGGTCGTTGAGCATCTCACCTGCTCTTGGGGGCTGCACGACCACAGCAGGGGCGTCCCAGAAACAGAGTGTTTCAGAGCACAAAAACAAAAACAAAAAAAGAATACAAAATTAAAATTAAGTTAATGACTTTTCAGCTCTTTAAATACACCTTTTTTTTTTTCTTTTTTTTTTTCAATCTTGCACCTTTTGACCCCATTTCATGCGCATATTCTGGTTTGCTTGTAAAGCAAAAGAAAAATGAGATTTGCAAGGGGGAGAGTGAAAAATCTGAAAATTGCTCGGAGGAGCTGTGCATTAATCAGACACATGGGAATCACAGAAAGGAACTGGCTTCAGTAAATGCTTGTTAGCAGCAACATATGGCCACTCGCTTGCCCCTGAACAGCTGCTGTTATCTGCTGGAGCATCCTGGATGCTGGGGTGATGCTGCACATGCAGTGTTTGCTTCCACCAGGGTTTGCTGCCGAAGGAGCATCTCCCGAGTGCAAGTGGCAG